AGGATTGTGCATCATAAGTGTTAATAATGTCTTATACTTATAAGTAGACAATTAACAGGCACACAGGTGTGTACTATACCTGTCCATCAATCACAACTGGTGTGGAACTAAAAAAGAGTCCAGCTATTTTCCATTGCCCATTCTTGGTAACAACTATCAATTCAGGAGCAAGACTTGCTTGTAGAATTTTAGCATCATTATGAAGGAAAGTCAATCCTTCCACAAGCTGAAATTAAAACAACAGAAAACAGAACTGAGATACAGAGTAAAACAAGTTTCAAACTTAACAATGGATAGACAGAAATCTTGCAGCAATTGAAATATTTCCATAGTTAAACAGATTATGTGATCATTATATAGATACTGATGAAATACCAGGATATTTCCTTCTACTAAAAAATCAAGTCTTCATCATGCGCAGTGAAGATACTACTTTTATCTTTCATGTGTGAGGATATTGGTGTTGCCATGGTTACTAACATGCTGTTCTAGAATTTTTCTCTTCTTCATTAGAATTTTGACTTTTTGTAACAGAAAAGATAAGTATTATTGTCCTTATTTCTCCTTTATAACTTTAGATCTGAGTTAAATAACATTTTTGTGACAGGCATTTTGCAATAGGTGACCACTTTAATTGCATTATTTTGCTGTTTCAAAAATGAATAAAAAGAGTGATGTTTTATAGAGAAATTTCATCAGTGTCTCTAAAATAAACAGAACATTACATGGTTGCTTGGGGATACAAATTTTATCTTCTTCTGCTGAAAGTGTCTCACAAGTGAGCAAAGCGAACAAGTGAGACATACTTACAGCACTCGAAGGTAAATTCGTATCCCCATGTGGCCAGGGGCCTGTTTTTCGAAAGTACCGGTCACTTGTTGGGCCGGTAAAGCTGCTCTGTTTTCATTCAAGATAGGGATTTCAAAATTTTTGAAAATAATACAATGAAACTATCAGCTAAAGAAACAAAATAGACTGATTCGGGTGCCAGAGCCTACTTTCCTATCCTTTAAATTTTGATTTTAAAGCATGGTTTCAGGCCCGTTAAGTTACCAGGACTTTCGAAAAACAGGCCCCTGGCCACATGGGGATACAAGAAACGGGCACCTGGTAATATCCTCTATTTCTTCACCTTCATTATCCAACTACACTCAAATAATTCCTCAGACAAGTTCAAATATCACATGGTATTTGTACTCCACAGAACTGGTTGGACAGGTTTTCTTGGATCGCACAAGTGACAAATTGGATTGAAGGTACAAAAAAAAAATGGCAGACAATTTAAATCATTTTTCTGACAACAAAGAGTCAGAATGGCACAACATGTAAAAATACTCAGCCATACAACACAAAAAAACATCTCATAAGATATATATATATATTAACTATGTCCCTCACTATGCTTGAAATCATATCGCCATCAAATCATGTGTGCTTGTGAAATGCACCTCTCACATCTACTATGTAATCCTAAATATAAGAGTCTATCAAGGACTATTAAGATTGCTTTTAAAATAATATTAAGAGAAGGAAAATTGTATCAAGCAATTACAAGATGTTCTTTAATTTTTTTATAGAAACACAGACCTGAAACAATCCATAAACTCTTTCAACATCGTAAAGTTCAAAGGTCTGTTGGTAGAAGACAAGATCATAAATAATTTAACATGGTGTGCTTACAATGGATGAGCTTGAATTATTGAGACTATAATACAATTAACATTTAATTTAATGTCAGTTACATCCTGTCTCATAGTTTGACAGGATGAAACTAAATACACCATTGCATGATTCCTAGTAATTAATAAGCTAAATATATCTGCAACTCTGTAAAGAGAGAAAGGCTTAATGTCACCAAAAAAAAAAGTGAACAGATCTACCTTAAAATCGTGTGGAGGTGGAGATGGCATGTTCTCATGTTTTCCAAGTAAATTTGCCAGACTTGCAAAGATTGGCTCAGTTGCAAAGGCTAAGCAATCCCTAGTTCAAAGGAATCAGAAAACATTTATTATACCAATGTCGTATCTCTACTTATGAACATAATTATTCATCTCAGAATACTCCAACATTCTTACACCTCTCTAAAATCACAATACGACAAACTAATGGTTACATACTTGAGACATTGACCAACAGATTCTAATGCCCAATTTCCCACATCATAAATAACATAGCATGGTATGGGATTTTCTCATGTAATAGCAAATTGGGTTAATGGACAGCTCTATTTATGTCTTTCTTTTATTGGCTCTCCTAAATTTAAAGCTCATTTATGTTCTTATCAATTGTTAGTAGTCAGCTCCAGACAAAGACATACTTCTCTGCCTTAACCAGGCCTGAAATTGAAAAAATTTCATAATCGCCTTAAATCATTGAAGGAGAGAAAAATGGTCGCCAGAAATACATTCTAAGTTGCCAAGATGAAATATGTGTCTGTAGGTACCTACAAGCACCACAAATTCAGATTTACTGCAATCCAGAAAGACAATTGAGGAAACTTATTGAAATTCTGAGACTGCCTTAGAAAGGAGGAACAGTGATCATGTAGAGGTATAAGGAATGTGTGTCTAACGATAGAAGTGGTTGATGTCAACAGGCTTTGTTTAGGCAACATTTTGCTTTTTTTCTCAAAACAGAGGTAGAACTTGACAATATGATGTATCTACTTTTGCACTTAACATGTTTAACCTTTTAAAAAACAGGGGTTGCCAAAGTGGTGGCTAGACCGGGACTTTTAGTCACCAGCAAGAAAATGCTATTTGCATTGGTGCCTATATAAGAAACAATCTCAACCCTTCGTTGAAATGAGGGACTTCTTTGTAAAGCTTCTCTTCACTATAATTCATAGCTATGTACCTGTAACAGATACATCTGTGTTGGAATCTTCAATGCATGATGGCATGGAAAAATTCAAGCACAATACATATGCATTATTAACCAAGCGTGAGGTCAAGATGGCTGGATATTGGCTGAGTTATTTTATTTGCATTTTAATGGGCCGAGATGAAGTCCAGGTTCATAAAAATGTGAAAAAAGAACATTGGCTTTTATCCAGCCATCTTGACTGAACAAGCTTGGTTGATAAAGGATTTAGTATATTGCTAAAAGATTTCACTTTATTAAGAATTAAGAAGGAACTTGTTTACATTGAGAGCTGGGAAAGAAAGTCAACTGTGTTTGTAGTACAACAAACTCATGAGAGTCGTTTCTGTTTTCTTTGTTTAGACTATCTTCAGCCACTTTTTGCATTTCCATTGCCGAAATTATCCAAGAATTATGAACATAGTTCTAATTCAATTTTTTTTCATGTGCGGGATCAACATGGGCAGTCCCAAGTGAGCAAGATGGGCCCATCTTGACCCCACGGGTTGCCAATTAGAACACAGGACTTGCTTCACCTTGCCCACAGGTGCTGTGGGTAATAAACTTAACCATGACACTTAACCATGTAATAAACATGCTGAAGTGTCAAGAATTGCATGGCATATTCCTGCCAGAGTTAATCACCTAATCTATAACTGTCTGGGAGAACTTCTTCAGATCTCCTCCTGATTAATATTTAGCCCAATGCTGCAAACTGTCAAGTAATTAGTCAAGTTTCCAAGACATAGAGAACTAAGAATAGTGATGTGAAAGGGGCACAAGCCCAGAGATTATGGCTAGAACAATGCCTTATTTACATATCATTGTGAACTAGAAGCTAACAGGGCATAACAATAGTTATCCAGTGAGCTAACCATTTCAGATTTCATTTTTAAAAACCAAGAGACTATGGCTAGAACAATGTCTTGTGTACATATAACTGTGAACTAGAAGCTAACAGGGCATAAGAATAGTAATCCAGTGAGCTAACCATTTCACATTTCATTTTTGTTGGCTTGTTTTGTTTGATACAGTTTCTAGTAACAGATAGATTAGTAACCATGAAAAGAAGCCTGTGGTTAAATGTACCTGGAGTTTGATTTGAAACACAGAGAAAAATATAAGAACCAAGTTTTGAAAATCCACTTAGCTTTGACTTGTGTTGATATTTAATTTTTATCTATTCATAAAAAATTAGCTTAAGTTATAACAGGGATACTGATGTTACTATGAATATACATTTATTAAGAAATTTCCTTTTTTTTTTTTTTTTACACAAGTGCTACTTACTTGGACTCTTCTAAAGGATGCTGGACAACCAACAGCCGTGGATGTCGCAGTCTTGTAAGTTGTACTGGTCCTTTCTTCATTGTTTCCATTACAAAGTCCCTTTCTCTTTTATCCACTTTATCCAGCAGCCTTTTCTCAAAAACAACCAGAGAGACCTCCTGATAATGAAATCAAACAAAGAAAAAAAGGACTTCATGTTAAGTATAATTTTTCAAAAAAAGTTAAAGATTTCTTTAACAGTTTTATCAAGTGCACTTGTAACAGTCTCTCAAAGTATTTAGCAGGATAGTGACGCTGCTCATGTAGTCATTTCAATCTAGAGAGTGAATTTTAAGAAGGAAAGTGCATTTAGTAAGTTAGAGTAATTTTAATTTTAGTACTAACTTAAATTTTAGTACTAGTTTAGTGATACAATGGAGCAAGTGACGTTTTGAAGATTTTTTTATCCTGCATGGGCAAGTCTAATTTGAGGACAGTACAAAAATTCACGAGTGACCAAAATTGACCGCATGCACAAGCAGTACAGGTAATGTTTTGTGTGTATCACTCACTACAAGATCAATTTCTTTGTCCCTTTGTACATTCTGATACATGTTATGTGGAACACTTTACTTCTGTTTTGAATTTTATCATTTATGATAATCATAAGACTTATTCCAAGGTTCTTTTGGCAGTTAATTTTTGAAATAGTTTTAGAAGGCAGATACATTTCATGAATTTAAAAAATTTTTGAGAAAGTGCAGTACGGAAATACCGTAGTACATGCATTAACATATTTATATTATCCACTCATTATGGGCCAATCAGAAACTTTATACTTAACTGATTTGGTGATAAGATTCTAACAAGGTAATGTATGTTGATTTTATTCTGTACAAAATCACTTTCTATTGCTCCTTTGTTCACTCTAACTACATATTAAGTGACACACTATTCAACAGCTCCAGAAATATTTGTACTGCAGGTTTCTCTGAAATAGATCATTTATTATAACCATGAAGCTTATTCCAAGGTTCCTTTCGGCAGTTTATTTTTTTAAATATTTCAGAAGTTAAATATGTTTCATAAATTTTAAAAATGTTGAGACAGTGCAGTGCAAAAATGTTCTACTACACTCTGAAACATATTTAACCACTTATCACTAGCCAATCTGAAACTGTATACTTGGTTGACACTATAGTAACATTCTAAAAATAACGGTACAGTGGAACCTTGATTTAATGAAGTCCGGAGGGAATAGGGAAATTGGTTCATTATATATCAAGGGTTCGTTATATTGAGGTTCAGTGGCATAAATTTTACTGTAACTTTGGCCGGGCTGAAACTGAAGTGTCGTTTGTTATAACAAGGACTTCATTAAATTGAGGCTCAAAGTAAGGTCACACAATGAAGATTTCGATAGCAGGAGATGGCCTGTTATGGAAGTTGATAATTGAATGCCCATCAGAATTGTAGGAGAAAAATGGCCAATTAAGAAACCTTTTTCTGTCACATTATACAGCTGTAGTTTGAAAATGTTATTGGTTGTGTTTAGCAAAGAAGACAGAAGTCATTCTGACCCTGGCCCTGTGGAACTATAGTGGTAAAAAAAGCCATGAACTTGATTAATTGATAACGACAGGGCTCAGAGGTTAAGAGGACTTCCTTCCTTTCTTTCCACTGTGGCTAAAAAATACACAAAAAGGAGGGAACTTTAATAAAGGCTGGTTGTTGTCCATCAATTATCATGTATAACTCCCAAAACGCCTACGCCTGTTGGCTATTAGAAGTATATTTAAAAGATTTGTATCAGTATAGTATATCTTTTGGTCACACCATTTTGTGGTTACGCCCACTGACACCTTAAAACTTTTGGAATGTCTTAAGTGAAAATCTGCTGACACTCCTTAACAGTGAGACAAGAATTCAAAAAACTTTGCCCCTAATATGTGGGCTTATGGCTTCTATTAGCACCCATCCAGTTTCTAAGAGGCACCTTGTCCAAAAACATGGTACTTTCTAATTTTTCCTGTTTCATTTTCTACCATTTCTTCCATAAAAATTATCCTCTAAGAGTCAATTTTTTATTCATCTTCTTATATTTTTTTTTTATCATATTTCTGGAAAAATAATGGCCACAAAAATCATAACAAATTAAATTTTGCATCCAAAATGTGCAGATAGAACTGTGATGTCTAAGCACAGAAGCAAGACATTTTCAAAAACATCTAAGCCGAGAATGAATAGGAAAAACAGTGTATTTAAAACTTCTACTTAAAATACTAAGTCATGATAAGTGTTATTATTTATTGATGTTCACGTAACGCACCTGAGAAGCATTCAAGCTACAACTTGTTAAATCCAAATATAATTTTGCCTCAACATAATCAATTCAACTACGGAGCGGTAATGAAAATAATTTCAAAGGATAACATTAAGAATTGGAAGTCTCAAGTACTAACTTGGCCAGTTGTCCTCTTTTTTCCTTCGTAAATTTTCCACGCCAAATTCGGTCCGAAGCTTGCCACATGTTTGCCAACATCAAAGTCTTTGGTCAGGGGATTTCCTATCAACGAACCAACAGCGCCGACTGCATTGACAGTGGCAGAAACAGCTGTAACAGTAGCATTCTTTGCCACAGTTTTAATGCGATCAAATACCGCAGCTGAATAAGTGCTGACTTTGTTTAGATCCATGTTAATTCGTCGCGAAATTTAAGTGTCAATCTGATTGGAGTAGTAACGTGTCTAAGGATCGCATTTTTTGGGATAGACACGTAGCCAGAAGGACGTGATTAGTGGTGATATCTTCGTTCAAAAAACTTCCTCCGTGGTGATATCTTCGTTCAAAAATTTCCCTTCGCTTTGAAACAAACTCGGATCAGGAACTCCTCTCAATAAAAATATTTCCGCAAATCCAAGACAACAAGTGTTGCCATCTTTGATTTACAGGCATTCGTTGTAATGCGCATGCCCTAGTTCCCAGTCGTCACTAGGTATCACATGGTCGACTGCACATTTGATATGGCGACTGAATCGATCTCGTATTGGAGCGGCTTTATATTTCAGATTTGTTTTGTTTTGTCGCATTACCCACACAAAAGCGGGCGGTTTGCTTACAGCTAATTACCGCCGTACTCCATTCAAAGCAATTGAGCGGATAATTTCGGAAGAAAAAGAGTCATTGTTTTACGCAGTGACCTTTTGAAATCCGGCGATGACTCCATCTCGAGGGTATAATTTCTTTCTCTCTGGATCAAGTATTGTATCATGTGTTCGTCTGCAACAATCACTTTTGCTCACTTAAACCCGAGAGCTTGTTTATGGCGAATATTAAGGTATTTGCACGTTTGAAGCCGTGTCAGAATATAAATCAGGAACTCATCAGCTTTGAAGATGAAGCGATTTGTATTCAGTCCCGTCGACGCGAAGTTGCTTCGCACTCCATTAGTTCTGGGTCCTCTAATCTACCGGAATCGATCCGATTTCGGTTTACACAAGTTTTCGGAACGGAATCGTCTCAGCGATATGTATTCGACGTGGCCGCAAAGGATATAGTCAAAGGATTTATGGAAGGGTACAATGGAACAATATTTGCTTACGGACAGACAGGAGCTGGGAAAACTTACACCATTCAAGGGGGAAGCGATAGTGTCACCTCGTTAGTATTTTGTTTTTATCCTCTAGCTGTATTTCCCAAGCTTACAAAAGGACGAGCCCAAAAAATAGCTGTAGTTTGGTTATAACTCGGTAAAGGCTATTTTTGTTTTGCGGGTATCATTTATGATTATTATACCCTTAATGTTCAATGTGTTTTTAAAAATGGCACTCGCGCGAAAAAAACAAAAGGTAAGAAAAAAAACAAGTCTTCTCAAATTACTTGCCTGACAATATTTCACCTAACCTTTTATATGAACATGTAAAGCATCTCAGAGAAGGTTGACTGAGTGTTTCTCAACATTAGTTGTAAAATTTTATGACTTTTTTTTAAAAGAAAATAAGAAAGCAAAATTTAATTAACCATTTAAGCGAGCGATTGGTATCCTAAGAAATATCTCTAGAATTTGAATTAACACGTGAGGAAACCCACGTTTAGGATTATCAAAAACATTTCATCAATTTGAACTTGCATGTGAGGTTACTCCCGACCCCTGAAAATAGCAAGAATTCACACGTTCTCGAGTAGTTGCATGATCTGATATTTAAAAGATTCTAGGTGTCTTTAAAAATTTATCAATTTCTCTGTGAAAGTTTGCTTTCATGCATGGCCCACCAAGACATGGCCAATTTTTCCGTCATCTAATATTCTAGTTCGGACTTAATTGATACCGGAAACAATTTTTCATGCACCATGACCTTGATGTGGCTGTTATATATACATAATTATTTCTAAATGGCTCCCGCTGTGTCCTTGGGCTCCAAATGCATCCTTTACAATATTATATGGAGTTTGGCTTGTTTTCATTGCCACCTTTTTCCAACAGGATAGTTATTTTTCTTATTGATAACACTTTTATTCTCATTTTGAAAACTGAAGCTAGTTCAGGCATCGTATTACAATGACATCTTTTGAAGCACATGTTGTATTTTTGTAAAAGTATTGGCGAACGTGACTTGAATCTAGGGGACAGGAAATTGGCTTTCAAGATGAACAAGTTAGACTTGATTTGACAGAGTGAAGTAAAGCTATAAATAGATTTTAAAATGCATCAATAGTTAGTGACACATTTTTGCATATTGAAATTGCAGCATGTCAAATCTTTACTCTCATTCCTGTGTAGATCACTCTTACACTAATGTCAAATCTTCCAGTGAAAAGGAAATTTGTTTCAAATTGTCAAAATTTTCATAAACATGGTGGGGAGGAGCAGTTAGATCAGAGAATTTTACAGTCAGATTTTGTAGAGTTTTGTACAGTACCTTGCACAGAAGTCTTATCAATGGTCTTTAAGTCAAGTGAAACAGGGCCAATCTTAATAATTAGGGCCATGAAGATGTAGCAGGAAAGAGTACTGTTTTCTGCTTCACTTTGCATCATGCTGTCTTACAACCCTCTAGCTCACATTTGTCTGGCTTTGCGCTAGGGAATCGGAGAAGACTACAAGACTATGGAACTGACTAGGCTGATTAAGAATGGGGGAGAGGTTGACTAGGAGGATTAAGAAGGGGGGAGGGGTTGACTAGGAGGATTAAGAAGGGGGGAGGGGTTGACTAGGAGGATTAAGAAGGGGGAAGGTTGAGGGATAGAGTAACTGGGATTCCATGTGTATTTACTATGTATGTGAGACTGAAGGAGCTACATTTTGTGTAATTCTTGTCGGTCAGAACACTTAAATTATAGTCAGCCCCAGAAGACTAACAATGAAAATATATATCTTTAAAAAAAAAAAAAAAACCAAAATGATTTAAGAATAGGTATGGATTTCTGTTGGTAAACTTGAAAAGTCTTGTCTAAAATTCTCTTGATGCTTATACAGATTTGTGACCTACCAGTACCTTGTTGTTCTGCATCCACTGGGCTTTTAATTTCATTAGACAAGTGTCAAATACTGGCATTAGTTAAAAATTGAGCGGAAGTTTAAGCTTCTTTTGTCTGTGACAGTTCCTTATTTGATAAGTATCAGTGCAGGTATCGAACATCTACATATATCTACGCACAATTGTGAAGTTTGATAGTTGTCCATTCTCCCTTTACTATTTGACCATTTTCTCTTAGATTTAACAATCATGGAATTATTTCCCAAAGTCTGTCCATGATTTTTGAATACATCGCTCAAGTTGAAAACGAAATGATAAGCATTCATGTTTCGTTCATGGAAATCTACAAAGAAGTGGCATTTGATTTGCTGGGTTCTATCCCGAACAAGGATGCAGGGAAAACCAATCAGGTGAGGCAGATTGTTTTCACTCTTGAGCTCGCAAGATCTGATTTTTAATTCTACCTTCCAGCTGCTGCATATTTCCTCGGAAATTAGTTACTGGGATTTGTTGTTAATTAATCAAGAAAACAAATTCTACCCTTTAAGACTGAATATTCTCATTACCTGTTTGCTGGATAATCTATGGAAATTATAGGGAGAAGTTACACATTGATCACTTCTGAGAGTAAAGGATTAATGTACTTTCACTGATTGCAGGTTGTGACTGTAAGAAATAAGACTTCACTCACTTTCATGATACTTTTTCATGTTTACTTCAACAGGTTTTGGTTAGAATGGCAGGGAATGGTGTCTGCCATCTTCATGGAATTTCTCACCATCCTGCACAAACATTAGAGGAGGCAGCAAGGTTTTACCAGCTGGGTATGGCAAACCGCAAAACTGCCAAAACGTCTGACAATAAAAGATCATCCAGATCACACATGGTGTTTAGCATTAAAATGCTCCGTCAACAGCCTGGTGAAGAGATATTTTTGAGGTGTGTAAATATGACAAAAAAGTCTAGACATGTGTCTCATGATCTTGCCACAAAGGTATCTTATAGTACAGGGATTTATCTAAAATGTTGCATCATTAGATTAAAGTGTGCACTTGATAGAGTGTAACTTGAATAGAAGCAATCTTTCACCCCTTTCCCATTCAATATCTAAAGATCAATTCTCAGCACTGAGTTTCATACATTTTTTATGATTGTGTGTATGAGAATTTGGTGTTAAATCAGATAATACTCCATGTCTCTAAATATATTCCTTTGGCCAAGGGATTCCAAGATTTATTATATACATCCTTTGATCTATTATTATGTACTAAGCAAAGGGCTCCCAGATGTGTCTACATTGCTGGTCCTATTGCATTACAATAATCTGTTCTTGTAGCAAAGGGCTCCCAGATATATCTACGTTGCTAGACTAATTACGTAATAAGAATCAGGACTTGACACTAACTTTTTAACTTACCAGCCAAGTCGCTAGTGACATCTTAGATGTTATGACAATTTCAATTTGGTACTAGCCAGACTGGCTAGTGGAAATTGAAAACCACTAGCCAAAAATGAATTTCTACTAGTCTGTGGCTAGTTGGCTACTGTTAGTGTCAAGCCCTGGTAATCTGCTTCTGTCGCAAAGGGCCCTCAGGTATTATCAGCATCACTGGACGTATGAATGAATAAATGAAAAACTTTATTTAAGTGTCTATGTTTTTTAGCTATAAGCTAATGGGGGACACTAAAAAATTTAAAAGTCAAATACATAATTATGTCTCCTAGATAATAGTTATTTACAGTATAGATAATTAAAAAGATTATAAAGTTATTTAGTTAAGTTTTAAATTTCAACAAGAGTTGAAAGGTCGACTTTTCTTATGTTCTTCTTGAATGAATTTAGAGTTTCTATTGTTCTTAGGTGTCTTGGTAACTTTGACCAAATGAGAGGTCCCATATATTTAATAGAATTCCTACCAAATCTTACAGTTTCAAATCTTGGCAGTTCGAAGTCACTGTTTTGCAAGTTATACTGAGTGTATATTAAATAAGTCAGAAATATTCTCGGGTACAAGACTGTGCTTAACTTTAAACATCAAAGTGGCAATGTCTTGTAGGCGCCAATTGTACAACGTCAGTAGTTTGGCGTAACTTAGCAGTTCTTGATAGGACGCTGATCTTAACATTTTTTTAATTGGCTTATATACTAATAAGCTGTATTTGTGGCAAACAGCTTGTAATTGTTAAATCTATTCATTACATGGAAACCAATACCTCTTGGTAGAACTTTTAGTCATATTCTTTTGCTGTAAAAGTGCAAGTATATTGTCACAGGGCATGTTCTAGCTGCTCCTATTGAAAATATTCATGAACGATCATGGTAATCTGTTCTTATAGGGAAAGGGTATCAGACATATCAACTTCACTAGAACTATTGCGTAATTGAAATAATCTGTTCTGGTAGCAAGGGCTCCCAGATAAAGATACATGTATGTCACTGAACAAACTGCTTAATGATAATCTGTTCTTTAGGCAAGGGCTAACAGATATTTCTACATGTTTCTATTATGTTGCATAATATTAATCTTTTACTGTGGCACATTGCAGGACCTATTGTGTAATGTTAATCTTTTCCTGAAGCCAAGACCTCCAAGCTATTGATCACATGACCCAAGCTATTGCATAAGAATAATCTTTCCCTCTAGCAAAGGATTTAGCGGGGCGCACAGACTTTTTATCAAAAAATGTAGTAGCAGGGGTAACAGTTTAAAATATCAGTAGGATATTGTCTACATTAAAATAAATGTAAGCCCCAGGTATTGAAATTTAGTTGGAGAATTCCTTCACGTACATGACCTGTAAGGCAAAGTATTGTTGCACCTTTAATGCCAAAAGAACACCCACAGGTGCCTGACAAGAATGGTTGACAGTAACATCCGACTTTTGGGGGTCAACGATCCAATTAAAAATTCCCGTTAATTCTATTTTCTTTTTCACTTGCTAGAAGCTAGTGAAAATGAGGTGAGATAAGATTTGGTTTCAACTCAACAAATGGTTGTACTGTGGATTTTTGAGGTTGATGTATTATCATGATGAAGGGACTAATAAGTCACTCCTTTGATGGAGCGTGAAACCTTTTGGGCGGTAGGCTGTTTTTATTTGTCAAAATCTAGTAGCCTAAATGATATAGTACAACGCTGAATGCTCATTTCAGGAACAAAAGTACGTTCATTGTAGTTGTTAGGACAAACACTATTCATGCATGTCTGATCTTCTGCTTTGGTCTTGGTTATTTCAGAAATCATCAGTCAACATTTTTTTAATTGGCTGATATACTAATTAGCTGTTAGTATTTGTGGCAAACAGCTTGCAATGTTAACTCTATTCATTACATGGAAACCAATACCTCTTGTTAGAACTTGTAGTCATATTCTTTTGCTGTAAAAGTGCAAGTATATTGTCACAGGGCATCTTCTAGGTGCTCCTAATGAAAATATTCACTAGTGAACAGGGTAGATATAAAATTCCCCATGTTACATCCTGAGGAGAAGGTCTCTATGACTGGTTCAATTTGACTTCCTCCAAGCTGTTAGTGTTACCTGTGTCTTGTCATCCTAAATCAGTACCTTTGTCTTCTTCAATATCACTAACGCAAGGTTTTTGGTTGGATTGATTTTGGGGAGGCTCTAGCTTTAAGTAAACATTTTTTAGGAACCATTGAAAATGTTGTTTAAAGTTAACCCAGTTTAAATTGATTTTTGGGCAAATGGAATTAAAATTAACTGCCTACATCAGGTCAATTTTATGCTATGCAGTCAATGTCTGCTCCTGAGGGAAAAATTTAGTTTTTTGTCTGAGAAATGCTGAAACAAAGTTGAGGGAAATGTTGAGACTTGAGGGAAACTAACTGTTTCCCTCAGGAGTAGACATTAGGGACCTTAAGAAACCATGACGGTGATGCCAAGGAAGACTTGATTAAAAAAGGAATTTCTACTCTTAGTTAGAATTTGAAAAATGGCTGCAGGAGCTTACTGTCTCTGATACAGCATCACAGCTCATCTTCAGCACGATGGCTAAAGTAGCCGTTGAGTTCTAAATGGAAATTAAAATAATTTGCTGTTGCGGTTTTGGTTGGCAGATGACGCAAATTTTGGCGATTTCACGTTGTTGTTTTGCATAGGACGGCTAAGAAATGTACAAAGTTTCAAAACACACGTGCTGAGCTATTGTTCTGCCAATTAGATCTCTTGTTTTTCCACGTCCTCGTTGCCGTCGCCGTCGTGGTTTCTTAAGGTCCCTATTAAGTGCTTCATTAGAAATCCAAAGGACTACTGTAGTAAACAAGCAAACTTTGTTTGCCTATTTTTTGGTCACACCACACCAAATATACCTCTTGAAGAACCATTTTTCAGTCCTTTTGCTCCACCAGTTTTTTAATTTCTTCTTTTGATAAAGTGGTAAAGCACTGTCTTTTTTTTAGCCATAGTCTGCTCCATTGTGTTTCTAAGAACTGATGCAGTGGCTAGCAACAAATTGTCTGGAATTGCTGTGAAGTTCAGAGAGAGCTTCAAAAAGAATCATGCCAAAATCACATCACAGGCTTAAGGCCACATTTGGATCATGCTAAAAACCTAGACATGAATTATATTCAATAGATGTATCCCACTTGGGATGCAATTTTGAAATCCTGTCAAAATTATATTACAAGCTGGATACATTATAATTTATGCAGGGTCATATGATTACCAATCAGCTGATCATATGATATTAGTCAAAGCAAGGGAAATTGTGGTAGTATATTAACAAACCTATTTAATCTAATGTAACTTTTACCCAATTTCATATTTTAGAATTAAACTGTTGAATGATAGAACTTGGTACTGGACTCTGGAAAAAGATATAGGAGTTGTTAGATTCGCACTTGATTTATTTTTCCTGTATGCTAAATTTTTTAAGATTAAACAGGAACTATTGGACATGCCTAGGGAAAATGACGGTGAGGGATTTACACGGGATCTCTTAACCCTTTGGCCTTTAAGAGTGGCCAGCATCTAATTTCTCCTTACGTTATCTGCACTCCTGAATCACACATCTAGGTCATGAGAATAAAGAAAATGATCACTAGTTGAAAAGCTCTTGATTGCTAAACAAATTCTCCTTGTCGGCACCTTAGGAAATGCATAGAGAACAGTAATGAGAATATGCATACTGATGTTAGGGTGTAAGGCATTAAAGTTTTTTTCGCCATTAATTTGTACTTCAAGGACAGTAGACAATACAGTCAAACTCTCTGTTTTGCACCAGAAAAAACAAAACCTTGCTTTGATATCTGGTTCAGTGATTGAAACAACTACGTAGAGAGCCACTTGAAAACTGTTTCAAAGCTTTTTGCATTGTACTATTGACAATTTGGGTAACTCATGTGGAGCAGAACCATGGTATAGAATGTATTATTGATGCTTTGTTTTGATTATTATCAATATGCATGTATGAAACCATGAGCCAACAATTAGGTGGAGGGGGGAAGAAGATACTGTGGTACATACTGTTCTGACAGCTGAGTTCAGAAAAGGTTGCAAAAAGTACTGTAAAGTAATTTTGATTTGTACTGGTTAGAGTGACATCTTGATAGCTGTTTATGCTCTTTGATGAATGAAGATGTTCAGGGCTGTGGTCTAGTAGTGCCTGGTGGCCCCTGGCACCTTACTTTGCTCTTGGGCAACTCAGGAATCTTAGTTTTCTCATAAAAAGCATATGCTGGGCACCCTGGATTTCACAGTTTTGGAGCACTAGGCTCCCTTCAATTTTTCTTAGAGCACAGCCTTGATGTTATTTGGTTTGTGATCAGTGTGGAACAAAGGAAAAGAGTTCTTTACAGTTTTTACCCTGATGCCCTGGACCACTGAGATCCAGAGAACTCTTTAAAGATGTTGGTCATTAAGAAGTTTGTTTGTAACCAGTCCCCTGCATACTGCCAGTAGAAGCCATGAACACCTGTTATTGAAATCAGAGAGATGATGCAAGTTATAAAAAATCAAAAAAGTAATAGAGTGTGCCAAGACATTTGCGACTCATTGCAGGTGTAGCCTAGCTTATCATCATGTTCAGTAATGCTTAGTGGTAGAGCATTGGGGCATGAAATCTGAAGTTCTGAGCCTCCATTCTATTTGGGAGACTCAGCTTTTTTTCCTCTATTTTCACTGCCATTTCAAAATGTATTGTTCTTTACATGATCTAACAAAGCTTGACATTTATCATCTTTCTTACCCTATTTTGTTTATTTTCTGGCATTTAAACTTTAGGTCAAAGTTGATCTTGGTGGACCTTGCTGGATCAGAGCAAGTTTGGAAAACAGGAGTAGATAGGAACCAAATAAGTGATTCAAAGTACATCAATCCTTCTCTGCATCACTTGGAAACTGTAATTATTGCTCTTCAGAAGTTTAACATGAGATGTACAAGGAAGAAACAAACTGGAAAATGTTTAAGCCGCAGCTCCAGCACTATCATGCAGCAAACAAGAGGTGCAGAACTGATTCCTAAGCCAGCACTGAGTGCTAAACTGAAGAGTGCCAGTGCATTTGAGTTAGGAAAAGAAAGTGTGTTGTCCCATGTCACTGATCACGACCAAACCCATGTACCTTACAGGAATTCCCTTCTGACCACGTTATTACAAGACAGTTTAGGTAAGAAAACAGTACCATGCTTTAAAAAACTGCCAAAAACAAGAGAACATCTTTAAAACTCTTGGAGCCTAAAATTGCCAGAGTTTTACTGAGTTTTCACAGCGTGATAGAAGTGGCAGTATTACTTTGCTTGGATGAAATCAATTTCAGGTTGCCGCAGCATTTTGAATAGTTTTCCCAGCAGTTGACTGGAAACCACACAGTGAATTCTTGGGCAGCAAAATTTCAAGGCAGTGTGAGACCAAGACTTCTTCCTCAAAAATTTTAAGTAGTGGACTTAAACCTTGATCTTTCAGCCAGCACATATTCCTAAAACAGCTGTGTATCCATATAGTTGAAATAAGAACTAATTCCCAGGAGTCTGGAAAACCAAAATTTCGCACTACCCAGTTTTTAAGAGGCCATTTTACAAATCAGAGAATGGTTAGAAATACATTTGATAATAAAAATTAATGGTGAAAAACTACGACGTTTCGAAGTCTGCATGACCTCATTATCAAGTAAAATGTTAAAACTGATGTAAAATTGTAGCTCAGAGATTATATACAAATAAAATGTGATAACTTCATTAGAATAATGAGCGTTCATTGTTATTGGTGTTTAGCATGTCAGATCGTGCAGTATATGTTTAAATAAATACTTTTGCACGTATTGAGTCAGACTGCGTGTTTAGCTTTGGTTTTTGTTCGCGAATGAATAACATTTAGTGAATTAGGCAGTCCATTTTTCCGCGGCATTTCTTGAGAACGGAAAACATTTCCTCTAGGCTAGTGGACGCTACACCGTGGGCTTCTTTCAGATGCTTGCCAATGACGGAGGCTTTATGTTCTTCTATGCGTTGATGAAGATGGCGTGTGGTATAACCGATATAATCCGCATCGCACGAATCACATTTAAAAGTGTAAACAACGCATTGGTGGTTAATTAAAGCGGGCTTCTCTTCTTGTATCTTGAGCTTTCCCTCGATCTTACGACTTACGATCTTACAAGCAGTTTTCACGAGTCATAAGATCGAGGGAAAGCTCAAGATACAAGAAGAGAAGCCCGCTTTAATTAACCACCAATGCGTTGTTTACACTTTTAAATGTGATTCGTGCGATGCGGATTATATCGGTTATACCACACGCCATCTTCATCAACGCATAGAAGAACATAAAGCCTCTGTCATTGGCAAGCATCTGAAAGAAGCCCACAGTGTAGCGTCCACTAGCCTAGAGGAAATGTTTTCCGTTCTCAAGAAATGCCGTGGGAAAATGGACTGCCTAATTCACGAAATGTTATTCATTCGCGAACAAAAACCAAAGCTAAACAAGCAGTCTGACTCAATACGTGCAAAAGTATTTATTTAAACATATACTGCACGATCTGACATGCTAAACACCAATAACAATGAACGCTCATTATTCTAATGAAGTTATCACATTTTATTTGTATATAATCTCTGAGCTACAATTTTACATCAGTTTTAACATTTTACTTGATAATGAGGTCATGCAGACTTCGAAACGTCGTAGTTTTTCACCGTTAATTTTTATTATCAAATACATTTTACAAATGTGTGCTTATTATAGTTGCCAAGCAAATGTGTGCTTAGTTGATTGGGAGTGAGGCTGAAGGTGACCTTGTTGTCATAGGGACCAGTATCTACTTAGCATGATAAAGAAGTGGTTTAATTTGTATCATTACAAGGTCACCCATAGCCTTACCCCTGTTCAAAGGCTTTAATGGACCAAGCATGCAACTGTAAAATGGACTATTGTTGGATGCATTTGTTTTGATATTTGATATTTGGCACAGGAGGAAACTGTAACACAGCCATGATTGCAGCATTGTCGCTTGAGGAGGAGAATTTACCAGAGACCATCGCCACGTGCAGGGTGGCTCAAAGGGTTGCAAGGATTCTCAACAAGCCAGTGTGAGTGTGAATTTTGAGTAATAATTTGTTGATGTTTGCAATTTAGATGTAAAAGTCAAATGAGAGATCTTACCTAGTCAGAGGATGCTGAAACATTTTTAGTTGTATTGAAACCCATCTCAGGGGACACCCTGCTAGCCAGAGGGTGTTGTTTAAACAGAGGTGTTTCTTACATAAAGGTAACACATACTGTAGACCTGTTATTGAAGGGACACCCACAGGACTAGGAAAAGTGTGCCCTGGAGTCCTGTCAACAAAGGGAACACATACAGTAGGCCCTTTATCGAAGGAACCCCACTGGACTAAGAAAAAGTGTCCCCTGACATTGATGTTTCAAATTGGAAAATACTATTTCAAATCTCTCATCTAAGTCTCTAGGAATATCCTGTAATTTCAAGGGATGAAAGTTTGATTATATAAGTAGCACTTATCCAAGACCTGTTTACTATAACAAGCTGCTAGGGTCTATCTTCTGGGATAACCCAAGAATGACATAAAAGGATTTTTCTCATCACAGAATCAATACATCCATCAATACAATACAATAAACAGCTTTTTCAGTCAGGGGTTATGGTCTGATTTAGCACCAAATTCTTAAAGCTGAAAAATGATGCACATCTTATATCATAGTCGGTACACAGAACCAATAATTGTATAATTTATTTGAGAATAAAAGGTCTGTACTAATTGAAGTCATTTTGCTATATGATAGGATTAAACATTAGTCACTGGATTAAAGATCTATTATTTTTCTCTTTGGATATTTCAAGTGGCAAATCAAAAAACCATCATTTATGTGTCCACAGAAGGAACATCTTGGTACTTTTTTACTTTCAGACGAAATGAGGAGATTGACAAAAATATGGTTATAAGACGGCTTCAAACAACATTGGCACAACTCCACTTAGAACTAGCAAATTACAAGGTATTTGTTATTTGCTGTGGTTTATGGAGTGATGCTTAAATTATGCTTAAATTTGTGCATAATGGTTCACAATCCTCCGGACTTAACCCTGGTGTCATCGAGATAAATAGATTAAAGGAAGTAGTAGTATTTTTCTCCCAAGGGGTTAGGAAATTAACCCTCTACGTGCTAACATCAGCATTCATATTCTCCACACTGTTCTCTATACATTTGCTAAGGTGCTGACGAGGAGATTTTGTTAAACAGTCATGATCTTTTGTTGGTGATCTTGACAGTAATATGTGAGTTAGAGTTTATATTGATGCTAGTTACTCTGGAGGGGTCAAAGGATTTTATTTAATTATGGTTTTCCTGAGAGTGTGCTGAATGTCTTTAACCCATTTATTACATCCATTTTGAAATTACTTGTGATTCTTACAATCTGATTGGCTCTCACCAGTACAATTTATTTACAAATCACAACATTTTAGGATCTAAATCTTATTTATTTCCCAACCAATGAGACAGCTTTACTTAAACATAACAACCAATCACATTTCAAGGCTTGTTTAAAGAAATCTATCAAATTGAAGGAGAAAATGAAGGACAAATTTTGCAACTTTTTACAAACCAACTTAATGCCGTGCAATTGTGGTCTTAATTCATACTTGTGATTTCAATCAAACTCCCACTGCGCGCTCATTTGATTTTAAAATCACGCATTTAAGACCAAATTGCACTCCACTCTGTTCAATTAGCATGGGCGAAGAACTTGATTTCGAGTGCAATTTGTTGTTAATAAGCACGTGTAAAGTTTTCAAAGACAGGAAAATTGCACGAGCTCTAGGGCGAGTGCAATTTAATTTAATAACTTCTAGAGCGCTATTTTCATTCAATGATCAACAGTGCTTAACAACTTTGAATACTACAGTAAATTCAAATTTATAAAACTAATAACATGTACACTAATATTAACAATGTATGTTAAAATAAGAATAATATGGAATATCCATAATTAATTAGGAATAAGGATCTTAATAAAGAACTTAATTAGTAATACTAATAAAAGTAATTGTCAGACAGGGTACTTTGAGAAAGCTGCACGAAATAAATATTAAGTTTTCAGCTTACATTTACAAATGGAAAATGATTGAATATCACGTAATTCAGCTGGTCGACCATTCCATAAGTACGGGGCAGCAGCTGAATTTTTAGTATCTGAAAAATTTACTAGTGCTTATTTACACCAAATTGCACGAGAATCACGTCGTTACTTATAATTTACATGAAAAAAAAGTATCACAGAAAGTCAAGACAGACGAAATTTTGACAGCGCGCGCGTGCTTTTTGTACTTTGCACTCGTGTTACAACTTTGCTCTTGTCTTACTTAAAAAAAAAAAAAAACTGAATGCACTCATTTTCAGCTAATCAGACAATTTCATACTTTTCTCATATACACCAGTAGCATTTATTTATTAACTCCTGGAGTGTGGCTGGCATGTAATTCCTCCTTTGTCTTGTCGCCCTTAAATTAAACGTCACGGTGATAAGCATAAACGGAGTTCTCGTTAGCTAAAGAAGCTCAGTCGATTACGAGACAAATTCTCCTTGTTAGCATCCTAGGAGCTGTTAAAAGAACGGTGTGGAGAATATGCAGTTTGATGTTAGGGTGTGGTGGTTCACTGCTCGGGGGGGGGTTCTTGGGGTGGTCCGTATTTCTTACCCCCACCCTCCCCTTTCAAAGCCTTTTTTTAAGCAAACAACCTACAACGTACAGGTAGGGAAAAGTGGTGAGCCTCCCCCTCTTGAAAAAAAAAAAAAAAAAAAAAACTGGTTCCGCCCCTGTCAAGAGGCCGTAATTTGAAGGAAACCTGCGTGAACGGCTAGTCGGCAATTTATTTTGTGAAAATTTGAGCTGGAAATGTCGTGAGTGTTTAAAAATTCAAAATTGCTCCTGCTCACTCGCATGGACTCAGTTGGGTGCATTTTTTGTGGCATTAAGTTACTTGCTTTTCGGCGTCGAATAAAATGATTTTCGTCTTTGCCTTACCCAGAAGCAGAACAAGTTCCTGTCTTTGCCGTTGGATCATCAAAACTGCCTAAGCGTCGAAGAAGAATGTGTAGAGGTGATGCAAGCTTTCCTTGCTGGTGGAATAAGAGATCCAGTGTCACATGGTGAGAACTCAAAAAATCTCTAATTTCTTCTTACCTTTAAATGAGACACTCAACTGCGCAGATGATGAGAATTTATAGCTGAGGGTGATTCTGTCTAGGATAAAAGAAAGAATTGTTGAAGAAACAACTTGGAAAATGGGTTCATTTACAGCTGGGTCTTTTTCTAAATGTAACCACGCCTGAACAATGACGTTTGCACTGTGCCTTGTTCTAAAATTTAACCCTTTTCACTCCGAAGAAATTCATAATTCTCCCAAATGTCTACTGTAATATTCTTACGATGTTTATTCGGAGAATTTGGTATTGGATCAACCAATAATCCTCTCATTGATATTTTTCTGTATTCTCATCACTTGTCTGCTTGGTATTGTATTGATATGGTAAGGAGAAATTCTGTCTTGGTCACTCATGGGAGTTAAAAAGTTAACCAGTAGGTAAATAGGCAAGTTCCGAATTACTTTTGGCCTCTTTTTCAAAACGAGGCCTGGTGCTCAACCATTCTTGTGAAAATGAGTTTAAATCGCATGTGAATGAAAACTTATTATTAACATATGAAAGGATGAGCACCAGGACTCGTTTTGAAAATGAGGCCAAGGGTAATTTGGAAATGGACCCTTGGGAAGAGGATATTCTTGGCTACACCTGCTCTAAGATGTAAGTGCACAAACGGCTGAGAGACAAAAACTCATCTTGTACCGTTTGCCGTTTGTTGTAAATGTCGTGCTTGACTTTCATATTGTTGGAGAAGGTTCAAAAATTGTACGGGCGTCGCTTAGGATGATATGGCCTCTGTAAAATAGTGATGCATTGCAACACTCGAGATAAGATTTACTTGAACAAGTGCAGATCAATACCAAAGAAATCAAAGCAGCCAATGAGAAACAAAGAAAACTAACTTAAAACTCATAGTTAAACATGAAAACCGCCAAAGAGCGAGGAAATCGTGTTTGGTTCTAGTCTTACATCTGATTGGTCGAGAGAGTAGTGCTAGTTTTTGGTTTTTTCAAGACCAATCGTCGTCACTGAGCAAAATCAACGCAGTCCTGCTTTTCTTTGGACACTCAAATGAAAACCACTCTTAGACTACTCAAAGATAGCCTGCAGAACAGGCGTAATTTGGGCGAGCGAGTTCTCAGTATTTTCTTAACGAAACACGGTAGCCATCTTTGATTTTAATGGCAGCGGAAGGCTGGGGAGAGGAGGGGCTGGGGTGGGGAAGTGGATATTATTTCGCCCCTTCCCACCTCCTTCCCCTACGGATTAAGTAAATGATCGCGCTTCTTAACGTCAATTTTCAATTCAACTCGCCCAAATAAGATGCCTGCACTGCACTAAAACCCTAAGTAGTTGTTAGGTTAATCACAGTAGTACAGGTTGATATTGTTTTCAACAAAGAGAAAGTCAAATTCAGGTGAACTAGTTTGAGTAAAGGAAGTTAACGCGGATGAAGAAAAATGTGATTGGTTTTAACCCTGTAACTTCCAAGATCTGATTGTTAATTCTCACCTTTAGCCGCTGCACTTTTCCTTATAAATTAGTTACGATTATTTGGTGTTAGATCGAAATAACAACTTGTACCTGATAAGTTTTAGAATTCTTAATATCTGTTTGCCGGATAATTTATGGATATTATACGGAGAAGTGACATGTTAATCATGTCTGGAAGTTTAAAAATGAATAAAGGCTGATAGTTTCGAAAGAAACTGTTTGGGGTTGCGTCGGTGGGAGTAACGAAATAATTTGGATATATCAACAAAGTTGAAATGGTAAATTGGCCACCGTAACGATTACAAAAGCTGCCGTTTCGAGCGTTAGCCCTTCGTCGGAGCGAAGGGCTAACGCTCGAAGGGCTAACGCTCGAAACGTCAGCTTTTGTAATCGTTACGGTGGCCAATTTACCATTTCAACTTTGTTGATATATCCAAATTATTTGGAAGTTTAAAAGTTTTAAAGAATTCTTCGCCTGATTAGTTTGGAAGGCTTTGACAAGGAGTTGCAAATTCATTCTTTGATATGCTGTTTTTGTGGTGAATGACAGGTATAGATACACCCACGAAGTTCCGCACCTCACTGCGATACTTGCGACAGGTGTTAGGTGAAGTGAGAATGCAAAGCTTAGATGACAAGGACAGCGGTGTACGCACGAGGAGCGAGCCTGCAACACCGCTGACCAGTGAAGGGGAAAATGACAAGCACTTCGTATCCAGTTTCATCAATAAGTTGCCTTTTCCTATTGGCGATCTGTCTCAACACAGGTATGTCGCCATTTAGTACGATGAACACTTCAGTTTTATAATTTTCAAGGATCCCCACGACGAGAAAACATCTTTCTACAGAGAAATTTTCATCAGGAAGCGTCTATGTGCGGACCCAGATATTTTTAGCAATTCTTAACTTTAAATTGACAGAGCATTGGCTTCGTATGAGCAAAATCACGACTGCATGATAGTGAAAGATGATTTTCGATGATGATATCGTTGTAAGGTAAATAACAAGGATCTTCTTAGAACTTGAGAATGCCGTAGCGGCAGTATTCTTCCCCCTAGTTTCCTTCGCAGCCTTCCAAAGGCTGGGAGGGGAGGCAAGGGGCATTAGAATGTCACACAACGCTCACCCCTGAGAATTCTTTTACGGTGAGCGTTGCGTGATATCCTGAAACCATAGTGAAAGCTGACGGGTGGAGGGCCAGACAGGTTGGCATGCGCCGTCTAGCCTTGTACTTACACGATTTATTTGCATTTTCCGAGAACGTGAATTGAAATTGTGGACTTCAACGTAGGATAAAACAAAGGTGTCGTCCTTCTCGATGGATTATGAAATTCTTGTTCTGACTCAGGGAAAAAAAAAAAAGGAAATTTTTTTTCTGTAGAATCTTTTTACTAGTTGTCCAGTGCGCGCCCATCTTTTGAATGCAAGTAGCTCCTGTTTAGATGGAAACAAAATGTTCGAAAGTTTCAAAACCTAGTGGTCATATTATAAGGTGCTGATTGACTGCATTAGGCTCTCGGTCATGACGTACAGAGAAAGCGCAGCCAAATGTTTCCAGTGCGGCTCTTACGCCTTGTCGATTTAAGCAGTAGAACACATTTTTCCGGGCTCTCTAATGTTGGGAGAACACGACCTTCTGAGTTTTCTCCCAACATCCCAAGTGGCGTTATCGCGTTATAGAGCCCGGAAGAAATGTGCTGTATTGCTTTTATGAGAGCGCTAGTTACATGCCGGCTCTATAACCTGATAAAGCATCCGCTTGGAAACTGAATTGACCTATTAGACGGTGCAAACTACGTTTATAATGTTCTAAAAGGGCATAGTTTCACATGTATTTGTTGTTGTTGCAAAATGCCGCAGAATTTAAACGAACACTTTTACGTTTTTTAATGCCAACTTTTTCCCGAAACATCTGTGTACAAAGGTTAGATCTGTTAACGTCTGAGCGTAGTAAATAACTTACGATCAATCCTCTGGTGATCTGTTTATACAGCAGCCATTCAACGGATCTCCTTGATTCCCACGTCTCTGCAAAAACAGAAAAAAACGTTTTAGTCGAGTGAATGGATGTATTATGGGGCGATGTTTTTCTCAAAATTCTGTTGGCAAATAACTATTTTCTTTTTGATTATTTTGAAATGGTCAACAAGAAAAAAAACGGGTTTTTGCTTACTCGAAATCTTTTGTATAATAGATTTGACAGTTTTTTCTAAAATGTTACAGTTTTTATTGACGAAAGGCTACGTAGAAAAGCGATCAACATATTTTTATTTGCTTAGACCTATCATATCAGACCAATCGCTTTCTTGTTCCTGGTTTGTGATTTTGTTTCCAAACACGCGTCTTCAGAGCAATTTTCAATCGTTTTGCTAGAAATCTGGGATTTCATTGGTTTTTCCTCACTGTTCTTTGATTGGTCAAGAAAACCCGCGCCACCTTTTCCCAGCCAATCATACGTTGCTTCACTTTGTGATTGGTCCAGATAATTCGTGTCACCTTCTCGACCAATCAAATGCTAAATTAAACCAATCGTGACTTGGCTACTCACGTTTTCCCGCGCTTTAAACAGTTTGATTGTTTTCAAGTTCTCATTCGTTCCTTGTAATATTTTCTTTTCTTCTGATTAAACATTGTGATTATGTTTGGTTTGGTTTGCTACACTCGAGTTACATTTGTTATTTTTGTTCATTTTGATTACTTTGGTTGTTGTTTCACAACATTTAATCGAAATGCGTCGCATGAATGTAAAAATAAGCAACGACAATGTCAGGTTGAAATTCGGAGAGATCCTTGTTTGGAGTGAACCATTCTTCTCTTTTTCTCCTCTTGCCATAACGTTAAAGGCGCAATAACGATGTCTGGATCAAGAAAGTAATCCAGTTCTTCGTGTCGATTAGCTATAAAGGCTGCCTTATTTCAGAAATTTGCGCAATTGACCTTGGGATTTGGGAGGGAAACCGCATTTCAGAAAGAAATGTGGTCACACCTTTTATCAGTTTCAAAGAATGCCGTTAGGAAATTCCGTTTCTGAATATTTTTGAACGATTGTCCGTTCTCAAACATAGGTTGTACTTTTTAACTATGTTTGCAGGATCTGTCGGCTTTGATAGTTACGTGAATGTCATTTTGGTTACTTTTAGTAACAGGCAACATTTTCGGTAATTGTTTCAAAAATTGAAACAACTTAATGAGATGAAATACTATCGCTGTTCGTGTTCTTTCTAAGATAAATACAACCTTATCAATCTCGAGGAACTTAGCCGATATTTCTTTAGATAGCGGTTTTACTGAAAGGATCTAAAACCGCCAGTTACAGAGTCAATGTTTTACAACTCCGGTGAACTTAAAAATATTGCGTCAGATAAATATTTCGGTAGTAACAACCCTAAGAGCGGGAATCTATTTATCAAAAAATGTATAGCGGTAATTAATCGCACTGAGGACATGCGAACCCATTAAAACTAGAAAATCTAAGCGTACTAACTTAAAAACCATTTTTAGAGAAATAAATACCTTTAACACGGTTACTCTTCATTAATGATGCGGTAATTCTGTTAGTTGAAAGCCCCGAACCGGCTCCAGTAAAAATACCATGTATGCGACAACCTCGTTGACTTCTCTCTGAATTTGACACTCGAAATACCATTCATTGTAAATTCAATGTGCTGAACAGTCGTCCTTTCATAAAATTGAAACTATTTCCTTACACGCGAACACCCAAAAGTGGCGGTCCAAGGTTTGCTATAAACAGATGCTAAAAATTCGTAAAGCGGTGATTTCGCGATCAAAGTACAACTCGTAGCATGTGACGTGGCGTGAAGTTTCGTAATCTGAGTCGTAGACCCTTTCAACGCGTGTCTCCCGACACGCGTCTGATGTTTTTAAAAACATTTACACATTCTTGATCTATCTTCAACGTCTGCGCCTTATTGTCTTGTTATTAAGAGGAATGTGCCGAAGAAACCAACTTATTTTTATCCCTGCCAACGAAGCATACATGCAATGATGACACTGACCGTGCTTTGCCGGGGATTCCAAAGAGTAACCTAACCTCGACTTCGTACCTGCTGATCCCATCAATGTTTTTTTTTTTTTTTTGTCTCATGGGTAAACGTTTAAACAATATGAAGATGCACAAAAACGCATTCTTCACTCGCAGCAGCTGTTTGTTAACAGCGCGATGTGCTTTGGTACGTGCAGTCAAGTTACTGGGTTGATTTCAAAATAGCGCGTTTGTTGACGAAGATTTTCGAAGGGAGGAAAAAATGTACTAGAACTTTGGAGCATCCAAGAAGTTTCTCCTCTTAAACATGAGAATTTAGCAACAGACGTTAACTAGAATGATCGTGATTAGTTCAATTTCTAGCACGTGTGAACACAAGTTTTCGATTGGAGTTGAAAATTGCTAGAACTTTGGAGTATACTTCTTCGCTCAAACTGGAAACTTGAAGTATAGCACCGCGTGTTAGTTGGAACGATCAATAATGAAGAGGAGAACTTGTTGAGACCTGTGTCGAAACTGCCGACATTAATTGGAATGATCGGGAATGAAGACAATAACTTGTTAAGTCCTGTGCCGAAAACTGCCGATTCTAGCCAAATTTAACGTTGGCAGAGTAGTTTATTCCTTTTATGTATTATCCTGGATCAGGCCTTTCCTACAGATCAGGAATAGGTGAAAATTAGCAGGCTAGTTTTGGATATGAGGTATTTAAGAATTGTATCATTACTCTTCTGTTTTAGGCCTCATAGTAGCATTAACATCATTTCCTGATGTATCTCACTGACGCTTGCATAAAGTTCAAATTGCTCTTTTAGTTTTATTGCTAGCTTTTGGAACCGGAATGACGGGGTCATTCGAGTCAATTTGGAAGGGGCTTACCTTTATGAGCTGGTGATAATGTGTAATTAGTTTCGGCTGGCCAGGGTATGATGCGTCGGTGTTAAACGCACGCGTTATTGTTTGAATCAGGAATACCCTCCCTGAGAAAGTTTGGGTGGAATTGGTGAGGAGATCAAGAAATTGAAATTTGCATGAACTTCTCTTCTCTTTCAACCTCTTCGCTTTCAACTGTGAGGAAGGGAAATAATGTGAATTTGTAAACAATAATCGAATAACTGAATAGCGAATTAATAGTGAATCATGAAGTTCGTTTCATAACCACGGTCGTTCCGTATCCAGTCGTTTGTACCCAAATGCAGTCGATTCGTGCCTAAGTTTGAGTCCGGTTCGTAACCATCCCAGATCAGTTAGGTATTTATAAGCGTAGTAGGAGTGGTATGTTGCAGCTACAGGAAGCGCACTAAGGCGAGAAGCGTATAGTCTGCCACATGATTATTGACACATGCCTTTGAGACCGTAATATTCTGGAGTAGCGAATCAATTTTACCCCTAATACTTTTTCTCTCGCCATCTCTCGCCCTGTGTCCTGTCGCACTTTGTTTTCTTCAAACAAGAGAGGGGGGGAGGGGGGGCTAATGTGGCAAAGTGCACTTCATTTCAAATTTTGTGTTTGAAAACCTAAAGAGAGGCTGCGTGAATATTATGTGTCAAATGATTTTGCCGCGGTTAGTACTTTGAGTTTGAATTCGATTAAAGGGAGGAATCATTGGTCAGAGTGCGACACTTGGTTAGGATCACAAGCCTGTCACGCGGCCTCCTGATCTTTTGTCCGTTCTTTAATTCGTTCTTGCATTTTTTGCCTTTGTTCCTATGTTCCATCTTCCTTCGTTCCTTTGTTCCTTCGTTACTTCGTGCCTTCGTGCCTTCGTGCCTTCGTGCCTTTGCGCCTTCGTGCCTTTGTTCTTTCGTACCTTCGTGCTTTCGTTCCTTGTAGTCTTGGTTTTTGTAAGAAGCTTTGATCTATAATATCCTGGGGAACCCATGAGACTAGAAAGTGTCCCCTGTACTAAAGAAGAGGTTACATAGTAGTATCTGACTAGGAATGCTTTGTTGCAGATCAAGTATTACCACGCAGGAAAGCGGCATTTCTTTCACCACCGAACGCGAGGGACCAACGACAAATGGAAAGGAATCTTCTATTCCAGACCAACCTGACAGAAAACCTCGGCAGCCTAAGCCTGATATTAGTCAGCCTTGTACTCAGACCGGTCTGCACAAAACTCGCCAGAGACGAAAACTCCACCAAAAGGACGGTACTGATCAGGTAGTTGAACACAAGAATGTAACGGTCGCTGAGCTCGAACTGGAGAAGGAGACGCTTTGGTAAGTTCCGGAATTCTGCTTGTGCTTCGTGGAACCAATTATACCTCCCTCGAAGTAATTGTGATTGTGGATATTTTACACCACTGGCTTACGAACTTACGAACGAAAGGAACCGTATTTTATCAAAACATTTCCGTAAGTATAAGGTCATCATCAACAGAATAACTTGTCAGAAACACTCCAACACACTGAATAGCACGTCCTTCTTAGGATAATTACTTGACGCTCAGACCTGCCTGTACCCAAATTCCTCAAACCTGTCGCATGTTTGCACGCATCTTAGTTTTCAAGCTGGAAAAGTCTTTGAAAAGTCTTGGAAAAGTTTGAAATTTGTTTTTAATTTTCCCGTCTAGCGTCAAATATTTAAGATGTTTTTTTTTTTTTTTCGTATTTTGTGTAATCGCAGGGACAAAAGCAAAACATTTACCTCCCGGTTGGTGGATCAACGCGCCCGTCTCGTTATGATGTCGAGACAGGGCAATCCTCCGGAAGAATTAGAAAACGAGAAAATCGTGGAGTTTCAATTGGAGAGAAAGAAGGTGGGAAAACTGAGGAATTAGATATTGGAGAAGAAAAACCTAACATCACCTTAGTTAAGATAATTCGTCTTGATCCCCCTCCCCCCTCCCNNNGCACTGCGTTGGTGTCATTTTGTGAGTTCAAGCATGGGTATACAGGCGTGAGGGGAGCGCGAGGCAGGCTCGAGGAAAGCACGAGGGAAACGCAAAGATCGAGATACGTTCCTTCCCTGACGCATGTATCGCTGCTCAAGCTTTTGTGCTTTACTTAAGCATGCCTCACGCTTGTCTCGCGTTTTCCACGTGTTTGCTTGCGAAATGACGCTAGCTCTTCGATCCATCATCTCCGTTGCCGACACATTTTAGAGCATGAAATCCCAAAGAACGGCTGCGAAGGAGAGCAAGGGTCTCTACGAGAGCTCTGTCTTTTCCTCTTAACCCTCTCCACCCTAACATCAGCATGCATATTCTCCGTACTGTTCTCTATACATTTCCTTTGGTGCTATCAAGGAGAATTTGTTTAACAATCAAGAGCAATCAAGAATTTGGGATCATTTCCTTTATTCTCGTGTCCTTAATGTGTGATTCAGCAGTAACGCTGTAGGTAGAAATCAGATGTTAGTCACTCAGGGTTTAAAGGGTTCATGGTAAGCTTAGATTACAAATGGATCCAAGGTTATGTGCGCGCGCTGTTTGAGCGTCACTAACTGAAAAACAAGTAAAAGTGATACAAAATGAAACATTGTCACAGTTTAATGCTTAACCCAAGATCTTATCAATGAGGCCTAAGCGTTCTTTCCAGCGCAGAGGAAAAAAAGAGCTTTAGAAGACAGTTTCTTAGTCGCTTTTAATTCTTGTTCGGTTTCAAGCTAGTGAAGCCTTAGCCTCCATTAACTATGGTGAAGCCAAAGATAACATGCGCTGAAAGCCACATCAACACTAATTTTAAAGTGGTGATTATTTATCGTATTTCACGCAGCGTGAGGTGGAGAGTAAGCTGTCTTTAGTGATCAAGAAACTGGCCGATTTGAAATACACTGAACAGCTAAGACAGCAGTCCCAGGTTTGTTTATTTATTTATTTTTTTTCTGGAATGGAATTGCAACTCAGTGTTGAAAGAAATCTGATTTTGTCTTGGGTTTGTGTAACTTCATCCTCCGATTGCTCTAGAAAACCTCTACCTGTACCACACTTTTTTGGCAAGTCGGTAGCATACTACTAAATTAGCCTCCGAAAAGAGTTTCAAAGGTGATGTTTCGAGCGTTAGCCCCTCGTAATTCGCCTTGACGAAGGGCTTACGCTCGAAACATCACCTTTGAAGCTTTTTACGATGGCTAATTTACATTATCAACTCGATCGATAATGTAAAACCAAAATTACCTTGTTACTCCCAACGACGCAGCACTACAGTTTCTTTAGAAACTTACCCCATTACTCGCAACTGTGTCATACGCGTTTTACCGCTCTTCTTCATACGTGTTACAGAAAAACTGAGTGGTTTTCTTGTTCTTTGGACCACTCGTAGAGCTTATTCTCAGATAATATGGTTTTCTCTACTGAGTTGATAATGTAAATACTCCAGAAACCCCCTTGTTATTCCGCACTGGTATTTCGGATTACCTTCGAATCCGTCGATTAAAATAAGCATTTGTCTTTTTTCTCTTTTAGACCAAACAGTGCCACCAATTACCAGCTAATACTGTCGATGAATTAAAACTCAAAGAGCAGTCTGCTCGTCAAAAGTTGTTATCGCGAAGAAAGCAGATGAAAAGCTTTGTTTTCCCATCGTCCACACAGTCACACCAGCGAGCGCCTTCCACTGCAAGCTTCTGTTCTGGAATCGTTGACGATTCTAGCTCGTCGAGGCCGTCATCAACGACGTTACAGAGGCCGGAATGTGTCGGGGGATACCCTTGCCATATTACATCGAGTTCTTCCATCTCGTCTTCTCCTACTTCACATTGTAGAGTTCTCCGTGGCAAATCCTCCTCATCGAGTAGAGCGACGAGTTGTTGCTCACGTCATACATGGCGAATGCCCTCGTGTTCACAAAGTTCTTTTTCCAAAGGAGGAGATTCTAGCAAGAGAAAACTGCCTAGTAGAGATGTGAAGTGCGGAACATTGGAAAATGCGAGCAAAGCTTGCTCGCTTGTCCAGTACATGACTAACTCTCACCGTGCTTTGTACCACAAGTCGTCGTTTCCACGTCGTTTAGACTCTGACGGTTTTTGTAACCTGCGTGGAACAAAACGTTTCCAGAAGACAGAGTCAAAAAAGCGATTATCACCGGTAAATAATGAACCTAACTCATCGAGGAGCCCTTCGAGTGTCCCTTTACAATTGGACGGACAGGTTGCAAACCTCAGCGAGATGAATCGGATCATTACAATCCCTCCAGACAAAATAGTTCCCGAAAGAGTGTCAGTCGCATTCGATCATACTGACCACAACGACGAAAAAGATAAACTTGTAAGTTTGGGAAATTTTCAAGAAATGGGACCGGGCGAAACGTCAGCCAGCAAGCCTAGAGAAGCAACAAATCTCCCCTCTTTAATTTTCCTCAAAAGAAAGCAGCGGGATCGAGTCATGAAAATTCGTGAATTTGTCAACGCGGCAGAGGTAATACAAAGAACCTGGCGTACGCACAAGAGAAAAAAGAAAGAGGAGAGATCCTAAATCATAGGGAAAAAATACTGTAACACTTCCAGTCTTAAGTTATTCAAAGAAGTTTAAAATTGAACTAGTGTCGAGCAGTGAGACAAAAAGAGTGAAGGAAGTGAAAGAAAAATAGAATAATTTGAGACCTAAGGCGAGAATTGGCCTGTGTAAGCAAAAAAAGAATCACGTAACCATTTCTGGATTAGAAAGAAGTTCTTTGGATCTTCTTGCAACACTGTACTCAATTGCGATAGCCATTTACAAACCTCTTATGAATTGCATTTAAACATCGGTAACGAACGTTGCTGCGAGAAAATGAAGTTCTTGTCCTTGCATCTGATACAAATCCAAGTTGCTTTGTATTCAGCTGGCTTCAGAAATGCTCGGCATTAGTTATGATGTCGATATAATATCGAACTTTGTCTGTTTCCGGACAAACCCAAACGCTATGAACCTTCCATGTATTTATACGAAGATGTCGCGGGGACAACTCGTTTGTATTTTAATGAAACCTATGGGTTCAGAGTTGTCGTCGATTTCACTTGTTTTCTCTTCCCACTTGAATTCCATTTAGTGTGAAAAAAAAATTGAATTGGAAAGAAAGATGTGAAACAGAAAGAGATGAAGGAACCGTTCTTTGGGATGTTACGCGACGCTCCACCCCTCCCCCCTCCCCCCTCCCAAATAAAGAAAAAAACCTTCCATGACATTTTGGGTAGCAGTCAATCGTGGAAAGCGAAGTCTTCCAAAGCGCTGTTGTCGATGGCAGTGACTGACGTGTCAGCATAGTTAATAGAGGGGACAGCAATCACAGAGAATGAGACATCAAAGTCATGTGATGAAGAGTTGCTGGTTGTGCGAGGGACCAACAACTTTTGACTTAAGAGAAGCCGCCCGAATATTTCGAGAATCGTACATCAGTGACGAAAGCTCGAATTTTTTTTTATTTTACCAAAACATTCCTTTCTGTGAACTAGCTTTGAAAAAAATATTTTAAAGTTTCAGCGATTTTTTTTCCGGCTGGAAATTTAAAGAATTTTGAAAATTCGCCAAAATAGCCGTTTTCGCCTTGCCTAAACGGTCAAATCGTCACGCAACTTTAGAAAGATGTTGGTAGCGCTAAACAAGTCCATTCACCATCAAACTTTGCACAGTAATTGCAATATAACTGCACAATAAAAGCACATAAAAAGTTTCTTGTAATTCTCTTTGGTATGGGTTTTATCGCCGTTTTTATAAAGGTGTATTTTGCACGTCCTTTTGGGAGACAAAATGAAGGCTAACTTTGACCGGTTTAAACGACACCTGGTACCTAAAATTTCGACATTAAAACCATATCAGACGAGAGCTCATTTATCAAACTATACACCTGGAAAGTTTGGCCGTTGGAAATTAAGTCTCGTCTCGGTAGTT